GAGTTGTAGTTGAAGCAACAACATATAACAACAGTAACTCAATGTGTATCCATGTTGTGTTACAATTGTGTGTCCTGAAGTCAATTCCATTTCAAAATCATGTTACATCACAGAGTTTAACTGCCTTGTAATATTTTCTACTCTGTAGTCTTTCTAGGAGAAGCTAGCCAGGTCTTTTCATCTACCACATGGCTGGAGCGTTTGAATCACCAACATTTTGGTGAGCAACTCAGTGCTCTGCACCACTAAGGTTCTTCTGTAATTCCAATGCTGTAGCTTCCTTATTATCTGTTGTATTTGTTTCATAAGCTTATCAGATTCCTTAAAATAAGTACTTAAGGAGAAAGAGACTATACATTTTATCTTTATTATCTACTATTAAACACGATACTTGTTTCATAAAGGGTTTTCATTAAAGATTGGAATGATTACAACAAGGATTTTGACATGATGTGGTTTTTTTTTTGCAAAAACACAACCCTATATTTTCTCTCAAGAAGCTTAACATCAAATGGGGAGTAATAAAAATTAAAGTCATAAAACAAGTAATAATAGGATGAGGTAATATAAAACATGTAAAATATTAGTATGTAATTAGTTGCCATTTGAGGATAACAGAAAATAAATATTCTGAGTTCAGGGAACTAAATGCCATTGTGAATTTGTTACTATTATCTTGATACTACAGTTTGTTCCGCTGAAGAGTTAATATTGCTGACAAGAAATAGTGTAGCAAAGTTTATGAGAGTATGAATTATGGAGTTATAAATGGCTAACTGCTTGGTCACTAGCTGAAACTTTCGTAGTTTTGAATCCACTCACAGAAAGGTCTTGTTAGGCAGGCCTGGCACTGCTTCTTAAATAGTATAGCCTCTAAGACCCCAGGGAGTACTTCTACTCTTCATTTATGGTGTCACCATGAATCAGAATTGAAGGAATATAACAAAAACGACAAAAGGAGTTGTAGAAGTATGCACTCAAAGTTTGAGGAACAGATAACTTGGCAGCAGCAATAACAAAAGTTGTTGCTGAACCATTTCTACTCTTGGTAACCTCATATGTGTCAGACTATAACTGTGCTCTATAGAGTTTACAAAGGCTCACTTCTAGGGTTATTGCAAAGTAGAATTGTCCCAAAGAATGGTTAATTATTCAAAAATAGGTTTCTAGGACTTTATTCTGAAGCATCTCTAGGTGAGCTTGAAATTGTAGTCTCTCATTAATAGCCATTTAGGTTTACTGTTGTACTAATTAAGGATTCCTGATACACTGTTACATCCACAAAAATGATCTTTGTTAAGTAACTGATAACAAAGCCCTGCTCAGTTTCACTCCATAGTTGGGCTGTTGACTTCTGTGGGGCCACCAGTGGCTTCCTTGTTCTCTGAATTCTAGCTGTAATTGGCCAGTGAAGTCCTCTGGCAAAAGACTAGATTTACATCTCTTTTGATGCACAATTCTCTTTTTCTGCCTCCAGTAACTGCTATTTGGACTTAGCTAGTGTTATTAGTCTAGAGATATTTTACTATCCTTAATGATTTTTACAGAGGTCATCATTCAAGGAAAGAGTGCATCAGAGATGTATCCTTTCTCCACACATTTTTCAATCTATATGCGTAACAGATAATTCTGGAGGCTGGACTCTATAAAGAAGAATGTGGCACTAGGATTGGAAGAAGACAACCTTCATTGTGCAGATGACATAATGTGGCTGGCTGAAACAGAAAACTTGAAGCATTTGCTGCAGAAGATCAAGGACAGCAGCCTTCAATATGGATTGCTTCTCAACATCAAGAGAACAAGCTCCTTACCATCAGGCCATTAAGCAATATCATGATAGATGGAGAAAAGATTGAGGCTGTCAACAATTGCATTTTTTTCAGATCCACAATCAACACTCTTGGTACTAGCAGTCAGGAAATCAATAAATGAATTGCATTGGGGAAAATCTACTGTCAAGGACTTCTCCAGAGTGCTAAAGAGTAACTTTGTTAGTCTAGAAACTAAATAGTGCCTGGTCCAGGCCACGGTCTTCTCAATTGCTTGCTCTGCATCTGGGAGCTGGACAATGACTAAGGATAACAGAAGAAGAATCAATGTCTTTGAGATGTCATATTGGAAAAGAGTATTGAACAAACCATGGACTGCCAAGGCAACAAGACAGAGCTGGCCTTGAGAGTGTGAAACCAGTTTGCTCCTTGGAGCCAAGAATTTTGAAGCTCTGTCTCACATTCTTTGAGCATGCATGTTGCCATAAGAGACCAGACCTTGGAGAAGAACATCATACTTGGAAGCACAGAAGAGAAAGATAGCAGATGATATGGATTGGTATGGTGACTATGTCAGTGAGATCAGATGTGTCAGAGATAGTGAGATTGGCTCAGAACAGAGAAAGGTTCAGAGCCATTGTTCATGGGGTCACCATGAGTCATAGTTGACTTGACAGCACGTAGCAACAATAACACAATAATATAATTTACCCTTTAAAGAAATCTTAAACTTTTGAGGATGTGACACTTGGATTTTTTCTGGGACTCTGAAATAATTGCAGAAAATTGTTTAAGAGCTAGATTGGATGTCAAGTAAACATTTATTATACCCACTCATGCTTTAAAAAATTATTTGAGTGACTGCTGTGTATTAAAAACAGTCAGACTGTAGTGGTGGCAGTGATACAATGAGTCAGATTAGCCCCAGAAGGGAAAAGAGTTACCATCCAGAAGATCAACAGTGCAAAGCCAGTTCCTATCAAGTCAAACATGCTCTCACATTTCTGTACCTACTTTTATAAATTCTAATATTACTATTCCTCCCTGCATTCTTGTACTCTACACCTGGATCTGCTTTTACATTGCAATGGTCACACCGGACTCACAGATCATACTCAAGGTTATGGGCTCTATTAGGTGGGCAACAAGTTCTACTTCAAGTTGAAAATGGAATAAAACTCTTCAGTCAAAACTGCTTCTCAGGTGTGCTCACAAAACCTCTGACTTTCAGCCTCAAGTCTTTGGGGCATTGTTACAATGCTGTTCTGTAGTCCTGCTAATTATGTATTGCTAATTAAACTGTTGTTGCTGTTGTTATGTTCATATTGCTATTTATGGGTTCATCCTCTAGCCCTGTAAACCTGGCTGAAGACCTTCAGCGTTGGTTCCATGGGTCTGTAGCTCCAGTTCGGCTCTGTCTCATGTCAGTTTCTGGTTCTTTGTTGTCTCTGCTGCTACTGCTGGGCTGGCGTAGGTTCCTCTTTCTAGTGCAGGTGTCTCTGGCCCCAAATGTGCTAAAGGTAGTAAGTACAATTCTTTCCTAATGACAGTACATTTTTCCAATGGTAGTACAATCCCCATTTTCTGCCTCTGATTCTGTTCTATTTAAGCCTATCAGGACGACAGTATTTACCGATACACTTGTTCCAGTCTATGTACTTATTATCACGGCCTGACTCAAAATCTTCTATTTACCTTGTTTACATTGTTAGTAAACTTTCCAATTATCTTGGACTGGAACTACAAACATCCCACACTTGTATAGTTTTACCCAGTCATGTGGTGAAAGCCAAAACCAATGACTAGAAAAGCCATGTTGAATAATCCAGTATAACATGACTGTCAAGGGGATGATTTCCAAAGAGGTCCAGGGGCCTCTTCAAGTAAGAAATAGAAAGTTCTGACTCAGATGTGAGCCTTTGAAAAAACGCTACCACAAGAAGACCCCAAGTGGGAGCAAAAGAAAGAAACTGGAGTTTATTAGACATTCATAACTGACTATAAACAGGTCAGGACAGACTGACCCTGTCTTTATCTTACAAAAGGGCTTATATATCTTTTCCACCAGGGAGTGAAGTTTACACAGCTGGTGGTATACAGCTTCTGATGGATTTATGGTAGTCTGCTTCTCTGGCTATCTTGTTTATTTCTTGGGGACTGGGGTGGGGAGGATGATGAGTCTGCTTTTCTTGTGTTATATTGCCACAGTCACACATCTTTGTCAAAACCGGTTTCTGATTGATTTCCTTTGTTAGTGTTTCTTTTCAATTCCCTATCACAACCAAGCATACATAATTCTATGATGAATGGATTCAGCAGAGAACAAATTAATAAAACATTATGATCATATACTTTTTATCTTAATGAGGTAGAGTGGATTTATATTCATATCAACTTTGAGATTACTGTTTAATTGTAAAGCAATGAAATCGCAAAGATCTAGTTGTGTTGCCCTGTTTTTTTTCCTAAGAGTAGACCACCCAGAACTCTGCCTTCCCTTTTCTAGTCTTGCCCAGCTTATGATTTCTCTAACCATCTATCAAGAGATAAAAAAGAAAAATAAAGAATTAAACATTTAAATTTAGCACATATATTGTAAAGTTAGCCAAAAAGAAGATCTAAAATGGAAATGAAACCTAAATTTGTCTAGGCATGTCTGCTTCTTGTTAGTATAACGATATTGGGAGTTGTTTTCAGCTTGTCAAACACTCACAGTTAAAAATGGTACCAGGAGGTTTGCATTCATGATGATGAAGAGAATAAAGTCAGATAAACAGAGATGATGCTCTTACGGCATAACCCAGCCCTGGTGTGCAGACTCTGTGTCTTTGTAACTTGTCATACATTATAACCTTATTTGCAGTACTTACTTAGATCATCATTGACTCATGTGAACTTAATTCTGTGACCCAGCAAAAATACAAAATAAATTGCAGCAGAGGAAGATATGTTTCTAGTTTGACCTTGGAAAGATGAGCTAAAGCTGCTGAGGAAACCATAAATTTAATTTACAACAACAAGAAAAACATTGTTTATATTTTGCTCAGTGGGTTCAGTGAAAATAAGTGTTCTGGTACAGGTTACACATTTTTTTTCATGCTTGATTAAATTGTTGTGTAGTAGGTAGCTAAGAGAGAAACTGAGTAAAAACAATTTATATTAGACTTTGCATTCTATTTTGTTTTTCATTGTCTGATTTTTTTTAAAAAACATTTGTTTTCTTTTTTTCAGGCTCAATTTATGAAATGTTTGGAAATGAGTGCTGTTTGTCAACAGGAGAAGTGATTAAAATTATTGGTCTTAAAATTAAAAAGATCATAGCTGAAATCTGTGAACACACTGAAGGCTGTCAATCTTCACAACCATTTGAATTGCCTATGAATTTTCCAGGTACAGTATATTGCAAACATTTCTCAATACCAAACTGTGGTATTAATAGTTATATACATATATGGAAACTTGAATGCTGCCTATAGCTAAGTACTTGGCTCCTAACTTGGAATTGCCCTAAGTTGAAATCAATTTAACAGGTTTATATCTAAAAAAGGTATTTTTACTCTCAAATAAGATATTTTTGTCATTGTTCCATATCCTCTTTGTTATTGGGTAAAAAATAAGAAGAATATTATAATAAAATTCTTTTAAGGAGTGCTGCGGCTCAATGGTGAAACATTCCACAACTAACTAGAAAATTTGGGATACAAGCCCACTAGGTGCTTATAGGAGAGAGATGTGGTAGTCTGCTTCTGTAAGGATTTTGGTATTTGTTGTTGTTGTTAGTTGATCACAAGTCCATTGTGATTCATAGCCACCCAGTGAACAATAGATCTGAATCTTGCCCTATCCTGAAGACTGCTCAGATCTCTGACAGGCACAAGCCCAATTTATGGTCACTCTGTCAATCCATCTTGCAGACAGTCTTCCTCTCTCTCACCGATCCTCCGGCTTTCCTAGCATTATGTGTTTTTCCAACGGCTACTTGTCTATATAAACCTACTTACTTTCACTAATTAGCTCAAAAATCATGCCTTTCTTAGAAAATTCACTGACCTTTTGATCTATGTAAGTATCTTTAATGTTCTCAAAATAGCATAGGCACCATAGAATGTACTTCTATACATACTATGTATATTCAAAAATTCATATTACTCAATAATACCATAATGTTTCAAATACTGTGATATTTTGGAAGCAGGAGTGGCATCCGCTTCCTAAGTAACATGCCTCCAAAAATCCTATGAACTTTTATAAATGTCTGTAGTTGTAGAGGGTCTTCAGGCCTTTCATTCATAGGGTCGCTTTGAGTCGTGCTCGACTTGAAGGCAATCAACAACAACAACTGTGGTATTATCAGTATTATTGAATAATAACTAACGGTTTTCTACTTTTTCTTATTCTTTCAAACAAGAGTCAGTAAACATTTTCTGTAAAGAGATATTTGTGTCTTCCTTTATAAATTTTTTTAAATTATTATGCTAGTTTATTTCTCTTCTAAATCTAGCCTGCACATCTGGCAGTTCTCTGTTGACATATTGCTCCAGTCATTTTATTTGGAAAATTTTCAGCAGAATCTTACTTGCATGTGATATTAATGATATTGTTTGATAATTTCCACATTTTGTTGGGTCACCTTTCTTTTTTTTATTGGGAAAAACATATTGGGGGTACAAGGAGGTGAGGGTTGGGGGCAAAAGGGTGAGGAATGGGCCAGGATGCAGTTGCAGAGCTGCACAGTTTGGTCGGTGGGGGGAGCAGGTGAAGGAAATGATGAGGGTCCAGTGGGGACCAGATGCTACAGAGGAATGACAAGCATTTTCCAATAGTAATTAAACCAACTGTCTTATTGATTTGGGAATTGGATGCCGACTCTCTGGCTTCTTCATGCTGAACAGGGGCGTAGATGTAAAGGGGGGAAGGGAGGACGGTTTATCACCTTACTGGTGGTCTTGGGTAACAGCTGCTTGCCTTCTTGCTCTGTTAGAAGATATTTTCCTGTCATTTGCTCCCCTCTTAACTGCAAAGTGTTTTCCCAGGTGGGTCCAGTGGGGATGGCTGGTTGAACCCAGAGGCTCCATCCTCCTTTGCCTCCTTAGCTGTCAGTTGTATTTCCTTTTTGTCACTGGCACTGGATTCAGGGTCAATTATGGAGTAAAACTCAGAGTTAAGGTTACCTATAGGAAAGGGAGCAAACCTAGAGAGAACAAACTTGTGAGTTACAAATAGAAGGGCTTTGAGGGTGTTGCTTTCAGGCTCGCCCCGAGCCGGGGGCCAAGCGCAGCCCGCCCCGGGCAGAAGGCAACTACGGCTCGCCCCGGGCAGGGGGCCGAGGACAGCCCGCCCCGGGCAGAGGGCCGCGACGGCTCGCCCCGGGCAGGGGGCCGAGGGCAGCCCGCCCCGGGCAGAGGGCCGCGACGGCTCGCCCCAAGCCGGAGGCCGAGGGCAGCCCGCCCCGGGCAGAGGGCCGCGACGGCTCGCCCCGGGCAGGGGGCCGAGGGCAGCCTGCCCTGGGCAGAGGGCCGCAACAGCTCGCCCCAAGCCGGGGGCCGAGGGCAGCCCGCCCTGGGCAGAGGGCCGCAACAGCTCGCCCCAAGCCGGGGGCTGAGGGCAGCCCACCCCGGGCAGAGGCTGCGACGGCTCGTCCTGGGCAGGGGGCCGAGGACAGCTCGCCTGGGTCACCTTTCTTTGGAATTGGAACAAATATCAATCTTTTCCAGTCAGTTGGCCAGCTGGCTGTCCTCCAGATTTCTTGGCACAACTTAGCACATCCAGAGCAGTGCCTGCTTATTGAAATATGTCAATTGGTATGCCATGATCTCCTGGAGCCTTTTTTTTTGCCAATTCCTTCAGAGCAACTTGAGCTTCCTCCTTCATTACCACAGGCTCTTGCTCATAGGGTATTTCATGGAATTCTTTTCTGTCAGCCAATTCCTTCTGATATAGTGACTGTATACTCCTTCCATCTTCTTTTAAGGCTTCCTGGATCATTTAACATTCTACCCAAAGTGTACTTAAGTACTGCCAACTGTGGCTTGAATTTGTTTTTCAACTCCTTCAGCTTAAGAAATACTGAACAAGTTCAGCCCTTCTGGTTTTCTGACTCCAGCTCTCTGCACATTTCCTTATAGTATCTTGCTTTGTCGTACTGTGCTGCCTTTTAAATTTTCTGTTCAGCTCTTTGACTCCTTGGTTTCTTCCTTTAGCTTTGGCTTCTCGGCGCTCTAATGCAATATTGAGAGTCTCATCTGACAGACATCTTGGTCTTTTCTTCTTCTTCAGCCTTTGTATTGATCTTTTGCATTCTTCAGGGACGATTTTCTTGATATCCTCCCAGAGCTCATTTGGTCTACCCTCATTGGTGCTCAAGACCTCCAACCTGTTCCTGGGATAGTTTTGGAATTTGAGTGGGACAGACTTAAGGTCAAATTTTGGTTCCCATGGATTTGATTTAATTTTCCTCAACTTCACCTTGAACTTGCATATGATTAGTTGGTGGTCTGTCACAAAATCAGCACGTGACCTGGTTTTCACAGCTGATAGTGAGCTTCTCCAGAGAGTCTTTCCACAAATGTAGTCGTTTTCATTCCTATGCATACCGTCAGGTGAAATCCATGTGTATAACCTGTGTTTATGTTACTTATAAAAGGTATTTGCAATGAATAAATCATTGAATGTGCAGAATTCTATCATTCCATCATTTCTGTCACTGAGTCCATGTTTTCCAGCTATTGATCCTTCTTCCCTTTTCCCAACTTTTGCGTTCCAGTCACCCGTTATTATCAATGCGTCTTGATTGCATGTTTGATCAATTTCTGCTTGCAAAAGTTCGTAGAAATCTTCCATTTCCTCATCTTTTGCTCTACTTGTTGGTGCATATATTTGAATGATAGTGGTATTCACTGGACTTTCTTGTATGGGTATGGATATTATCCTGTTGCTCATCACATTGTAGTTCAGGATGGATCTAGAAATGACTTTTTTAATTATAAAACCAATCCCATTTTTCTCAACTTTTTATCCCCAGCATAATAGATCATATGATTGATCATCTGATTCAAAATGTCCCACGCCAATACTGGCATACTTTGGGCATGTTGCAAGGAGAGATTGGTCCTTGGAGAAGGACATCATGTTTGGGAAAGTGGAGGGACAGCGCAAGAGAGGAACACCTTTGATGAGATGGATCAATTCTGTGATTGGGTGGTGGGAGTGAGTATGTCAGAGATGGTGAGGTTGGCACAGGATAGAGCAGCATTTAGAGCTCTTGTATATAGGGTCACTATGAGTCACAGGCAACTCGATGGCACATAATAACAACAACTAGTTTATTTACAAAATTCAAATACATCGTTTACCAGAAGAGATTCTTGCAACTTCCCTCAAAAACCCCCATCAAATTGTACAACCCTACAACTACCCTCTGACCCCCACCGCCCCATACATCCTCATTCCTCCGTTTCCAACTGCCCCTGCTACCCCGCCCCAGAATCCTTATATTCATTCTACAATAATGGTTTTATATAATATTTGTCCTTGTGGGACTTAGTTCATTCTGAATAATGCTCCCTCCCAAGTTAGGTAATAATTTACAATGAAAGAATTTTCACAGAGGAAGATATTTGAATGACAAATAGAGACATGAGGAAATGCCCAAAATTACTGGCAATAAGAAAAATGCAAATCAAAATCACAATGAGGTACCACTACACTCCAGTAACAGTGGCAAAGTTTCACAGGGCAGGAAGTAATAGTTGCTGGAGAGGATGTGGTGAGATAGAAACACTTGTACATTGTTGGTGGGATTGTAAAATGGTACAACCACTCTGGAAGGCAGTTTGGTGCTTCCTCAAAAAGCTGGACATAGAAATTTCACATGGTGCAGCCATTCCACTACTTGGAATATACACTGAGAAAATGTTTCTTTCTTTTTTCTTTTTTTTATAAAAAAAAAGTTCGCAAAGCACATTGAAGCAGAGGTCATTCTGTTTTATATGAAGTTACTGAGTCAGAGTCCACTCCATGACAGCTAACAACAGCAACAAATATCTTAGGCTTTGCAACCAAACGGTTTCTGTCTCAGTCACTTTACTTTGATCTTGTAGAGTAAATGCAAACATAGTAGATATTGCATAAACCAATGAGCACGGCTGTGGCTCAATTAAATTGTAATTAAAAATATAACAACCCCAAAACAAAACAAAAAACAGATGACAGTAAACTTTGGCTGGTAAACTATAATTTACAGATGCTTGCTTTTGATTGATATTCTTTGACAGATAAAGTATGATGCATTTACACTTCCCTTCCATAATTGAACATTTTTATTATTAATAGAATTCTTTATTTAATTGTTATTTTAATGAAGTTTATAGAAAGGTTGGATTTTCATTTAT